GCGGTGTGGTCGGCACCACCGGCCGGTACGACCGCGCCTGGGCTGTTGCGGCTGACATCCGGACATCTACCGTTGGATTCAAACCATGTTACTCGCCGTTTTTTTTCCTGAAGGTTGTTGGTGTTGAAGTTGAAATCCGACTAAGGTGTGTGCGAAGCCGGCGCTGTCGCCAGTGTGACCATGAAGCTGATCATGCCCTCGGAAGCATGAAGCCCTCATGCTTCCGCGGCACGCTCCCGGTGTGACGGGGCATGTCACATGACATGCCCCGATGTCCTGCCCCCTGACACGCCTTGCGATGAGGCGGGATGAAACGGTGAAGGGAGGGTACAGCTCATCGAGAGGGTGTGTGATGCCGATGCCAGGCTGGCGCGGCGGCAGTGCCGACACCACGCTCCTGAAAAGGAATGCATCTCATTCCTCCATCTGAATGACGGCAAGCCCGTTCCATCTCCCGATGTCTATCCCAATGGGTTCAACGTCGATGGTGGTCTGGTGCGGCTTCGGTGATAGCATCACGCTCCTCGAAAATAATGCATCGTTGATTGTTATTCCTATATCTGATCGAAGGTGACGGCAAGCAAGTTCAGTTCCAAAACATGCACCGTTCGCCTGCTTCGGTGATTCATTATCGTCGTCCCCGCACCCCACCCTCCTTCCACCGTGCACTCACTTTACCCCACCGCTTTGCACCGGCTTGTTATCGCTACCCCTGACTCCCCTTGCCTCTGCCGAACGTCCACTCCCCACCAACCTCAGGGCAAATACGTAGTGCAATATTAGTTTGGACGTCGCGCCGGTGGCGGCGCCTAGTGGACGCCGTCCCAACCGACGAACCGGTTTCATCCGGTGTGCGCTCGGCGATTCGGCGCCGACGTCGGCGGCGCCGGCCGCAGTCATGGCACCAGCCCGTTTTGACGGCCGCCCTGGCAGCGGAGCAGTGACATCTACCGCAGGCTGGTGGCGGCACCTGGCAACTGCCGGTCCCAACTGACGAACCGGTATCAACCGGCACGTGGCGCGCTTGGCGCTGGCGGCGGTAACCGCGACCGCCCCGAGCTGCGCGCTTTCGTCAGCGGGAAGGGACCCGCGCCGTCGCCACCTACAGGAAACGTGCAGACGCTGATGCGAAAACCTTTTCCGTAGGAATAGCTGCTAGTGTATATCAACGGCACCAGCGGAGTTGCACACACACAGATGATGCGTTATGTGCGAACCCGACTGCAGAACATAGTGGTGTACCTTGGTAAGCCGAAATCCAAAATCCAAGGATTGGATGCTAAAAATAACGCCTTCGTGCGGCATGGGACGACGTAAGTGGTATCAGACATCACAGGCGTAGGAATGTTTTAAAAAGTGGAAGGGGGTGCAAGCTCAGGGCGTACTTCACCAACTTTTTCTGGAAAACAAGCCCGATGACCGGGGGGGGGGGGGGGAGAGGAGGGTAGAGGTGGTGGTTATCGCTATTTATTCAGATGTAATGACAGCTATTCCATATATGCATCTAGAGCTATTTCCCACTGGTGTACACTCTTGCCTATGCCAATCATCCATGTCATCCGGGAAATAAGGCTATCCAGCTTCCCAAAATTATTCGTCCATTTCAACGTTGTCTTTCCTGGGGAGCCGAAATGTCACGAGCGGGTAGGCATTTTGGGACATTGAGGAGGCGTCTGTATCCACAGGCAGTTGCCAAAATATGGCCTGAGCATAGGCCTGGTGAAAGTTTTGAAAGTGATTCAATAGCTCACAGCCCCACAAATTTTGCATGCGCCTTCATTTCGCTGCCTGCTTTTCAGGAGATAGACTTGTCGCGGCATTTTAGGCGGAAACGAATTCGGAAGCTTTAAACTACCAAAAACCATGGTGGGACAAAAAGCCATAGAACTGAACATTGTCTTTTGAAAACCAGGCCACAGAATGAAGGTCCTTCTGTCATATATTCCTTGTCTCAGCCCTGCTCCCGTCCGCCATCTGTGGCCACTGTCCTGGCCCGGCTGTCTCCGAATGCCTGACCGCGAGCTGATGGTATGATTGCTTGTTGCACATTTTTGGTTCAGCATTGCTACTGATTGGGATGCAAAACATGTGCTGGCCACCTGCAAAGAACGTTTTTCCGAATTATCTTCCCTTACACCACCACACACCCCAGAAAAATGCTGCCGGTAAGCTGCCTGCTTTAGATATGAATTGGCCCAACGGAAATTTTAATTGCCCGTCATTCGACGTAGATGACTTGATCTGTTTTTGTGTGTAGGCAGGGGGTAGCCAGAGGCTTGCTAAGAGGAATAAATAGTTGACAACATGGTGACCCCCCCCCCCCACCAAAAATATCCCCGGATATAGTTAACCTGTTAACAAGGGATATGGTTTTCTTCGTTTCAATGTTATTTCTACGTTATAACCAGAACAGAAACCAGAGGCTACCGTGAAATCAAATTCTGTTTACATTTTATCACGCGCCCGGGTGGCCGGCTACATACCCTTCACTCGAGCGAGAGATCAATTTAAGCCCCCTGGGATCTCGGGAACTAAAAGAGCTAGAGACAACCAAATTCACAGTGTGTTGGCCTGTACGTGAACTCACTTAGGTGAAAGTTTAAGGTTTCTAGATTATAGCTTTCGGGTCAAATAAGGTCAAACAAGGTCAAATTCCAGGTTGGTTTTTAAAGTGCCCCAGATCCTAGATAACTATTTCTTAGCAAAAGTTCACACGTTCAGTTAAGGTCAGTGACCTTCTTCGACCTTTTGAAGGTCATGGTGACCAAAATCATACAAGACTGCTCTGAGTTTTGTATTTGAATAAGCGAGAAAGATTATGCTAGACAGTATGTTTCTAAAAAACAAATGGTTGACCTAGGTCATTTTAGGTCAATGACTTATTGTGACCTCTAAGAAATCCATGGTTGATGTATACTGCGGTTTCCTGCTATCAACAAATTCGAAAATGAACGCAAGAAACTATCCAATACAGCAAGCCCTAGAGTAATAAAACAGGTTGTTTTTGACCTTGGCCTGACCTTTATACCTGACCTTAGGTTAACGTAATTTGCTCATGCAATATTTGTGTTTGCCTAAGAAAGCATCTCAGAGACGTATGACTTCGTCTAATACTCCATTGCTGCATATATTGAACGATTCCTTAGAAGTTGACTTTGCTCAAACCATGGGCCTGACTTTGACCTGCCATAGGTCAGCTGCCTTAAGAGGTGCATCTAAGTTTTTTATACTAAAACGATCCGCTATTATCAATTGTCTACAGCTATGCAAAAACATGGCGTGGCTGCGCCGCGCTGTTCGGAAACCATTCTGGAAAAAAGCTTTGGGGAGGCAAGTCAATCTGACCCCCACCCGAGCGCGTGTTTAAGGTTAATGAGCTGCAGCAATCAGGCGTTTAACCGACCGCATGGGAATAAATCACCGGTGTCTTTAATTTGCAAGGGCTTAGTAGACCTCTTTTAATTCGACAGAATTCAGGGAGGTTTTTCATAATATGTCATGTGTGTTCTACAGACATTGAGGACATCGCGAAGGTAGACTGTAGATCGATATGCTTGATCGAAATTTAGGGGTGAAAATTTTGGTTGTAGATCGGGTGGTCAACAATGCGTATTGACATCGCCAAGTCATGTTTGTCTGGAAATATTTGATATTCAGTCAGATTCGGTTAGTGATACAATTCATGTAACATGGTTTTTAACATGCGCTCGCAAATCTTAGCAACAAAAACCTCGCCATCAGGCGTTGCAGTCTCTATAGTCCGCGGAGCGCCAAGTGGGTTAACTT